GTTATCCATGCCAAAAATTCTGAGTCGAGAAGCAAAGTTCGTCGAAAGAACGTTCCGATCACGTGTTGGAATAATCGTGGATCCGACAATCGCGTCATTGAAAATTCGAATAACCGGTATACCGGATAAACCGGCCGTTCTATTGCGATACACGGTCGGATTTATAGCCGGGACAATCTGTTCGGTTATTTTAATACCCGCGTTCGAAACTACGTAACACCCGACGCAGTTAAGAATATATCTTGGCCAGGCCATTTTTACCAACCGGGCCTCGGCGGTCGCTAACAGTTTAGCGGTAGACCGGTAATTTTTACTTTCTATTTTCTTTTTCGCGTCGAGGGAGAGAGAGATACATATCGCAAAACCCGGCCCCGGCACACGACCCCGTCGCGTTCGCAGGAATCGTAATTGGGCTCGATCGAATTGACGTTGATGAAGCTATCGCAAGAAACACTTCGGGACAATTAGCCGTTTCGATAATTACTGTGCCCGAGACGTCCGTTGGATACGATTGACGAAGAGAAACCGACCGAAAACCGACGGGTCGTATTTTTCTTGGCGCGAGCGACGATCGTGTCGACTCGCGGTTAAGAGAAAAGAATCAACGTTCTTCGTTTGTATTGGAACGTTCGAAAAAAAAACAGGGGAAAAGCCTTTAACGATGAGAAAATTATTTCACAATTTTTAAATGGATCCAGCTGAAGATATCTGATATTTATTTTTCTAAAAGCGTGAAGAATTTTGTATTTTAATTACGAAAACAACAAACGCGACAGAGAGATTCTTGTTCCAGGGGGGGTGGGTTTTTGTCAAAAGGTTCGAAAATAACTGCAACGGCTGGTTAAAATATAATTCGATCGTTACAGCCGCGTCGACGAAGTTTTTAAATAGTTCCGCTAAACGTTCCCGGTTCGGTAAAATCAACAAATTGAGTTACGCAAAGCATCGACGTCGCTGCATACGTACAAGAACGAAACCGATACCCGATTCAAAGGCTATTAACCAATCCAATTCGATCGCGCGGTTCGCCCAGTCATCTGAATAATCGAAAACAATGCAACGAATCGACGCATTGTTACCCCTGTTCCTGTGTACGCGCAACAAATTCTTCATTAATCCCAATTCTAACCGAATGTAATTTTCATACACCGGGTTAGAGTCAATTGTAAGTCTCGAGCGATGATTTTACGGGTCAAAATGCTTTTAAAGAACTTGAATTTCTTTTATCGGAGGAAACAGAGAGAAATGTCAACCATTTTGCATAAAATTTAACGAAAAATTAAATATTCGATCTTGTTCGAAACCTAAGTAGATCGCGAGAGACGAGAATGTGAAGTTTCATCGAGATCAAGGGGTTGGAAAGTGAAAAAGTTTCGAACACAGTTTCATTATTCATGATTTTCGTCTTATTTAAGCCCGTAGAATCGCCCCTTGAAAGGATTGGCGTTAGTAGTCGAACACTTTAGACCCTATAGTTACTCAAATTTGATACACGAGCCAAAGTTGCATCCCTGGGATTAGGGTAAATAATATACGTATTACCGTTCGACGGGTAACGGGTTAATCCTTCGCGCTAGGAGACTCTACTCTGATCACCTACCAGCAACTCGAGCACACTTTCTTACGAAACAGTGGATAACTAATCGAACTATGTAAATGGTTCAGCGTAAAATTCAATTATTTCATTCGACTAATACTTGGCTTGCGATTTTAATTTTGTCTATTGTAACTGTATTATTTTATTTACACCCTTGCTGCACAATGACCAGTCTGACTCGTCACAAGTTCTTGATGTTCCTTTACGATTCTTCCACGACAAAAAGTAAAAGATCACAATCAATAATAGAAGCATCCCTGATCTTTTATTGTAAATGATTACTAGTACAGAATAGAGGGTTGAAAAAGTTTTCTTTGCAGTTAAAGTACCGATACTGTCAGTCAGAATATTCAGAAAATTCTAATGAATTATTTCTCCCATAGAAACAGAATAAATAAACAGTTAAGATATAAAAGAAATAAATCTATGTATAGTCTAGCGTTCGAATATTTTTGTTACCGTACCAGATGCTAAAATAGAAATTAAATGTGAAAATTCAGCAATTCCTGGTACAAACAAATTTAGACAAAACTAAATGGTGTTTGAAAAATTATTTGGAATTAAATCGTACGTCAAGGGGTTAATTTTGTCTTGTATAATCGGCAATTCTCTTCGTCTCCTCGGGGGTGATGTTCGAGTTCGCTAGATTTACGACGCGAGTGCAAAGGGGAGAAGAATGGTTCGAGAGTCAGATTTTGAAAAGAAAGAGAGGCACGCGGGAACCGGGTAGAAGAAAAGAAGCGTATCGCGTACGGTGCGCGGAGAACCGCAGTGGCTGCGCCAATGGTGCCAATGATAAAATCCCCTCTGACGCAAACTGCAGCGCGATGCAGTCCCACAGAGAGAACAGAGCGCATTGCCACACGGGCAAAAGAGCCGGAGAGATCTTGTTCGTGAAAGTAACGGGCCTCGCGTTTGTATTTTTCAATGCAACCGTGCCCCGGCCGGCGGGTTTATGATTTTGCTTAATTAATGGTTCCCTCGCCTCCTCCCCCCTCTACCCCACCGGTCCATCCCTTCGAGCGTTCCCAGTTACCGCCACCACCGTCGCCCTCCTACCGTCAACCTTCCACCCCCTCTCAGCGTGGCCATCCGGCAGTCCGGTGGCCATTAGCCTGCACGGATTGCGCAATTTCGGGAAATTGCGAAGTAATTCGCGGTTGCGGCCACTCTCGTGCTCGGTCTAAGAGAGACAGAGAGACCCTGTGTGTGTATGTGTGTGTGTGTGTGTGTATGGAGCGGTACGAAACACGAGGGAGCGAAAAAGAGAGAGAGATAGGTCGCGAATTCTAGGAAAGGACGGCGTTGAAGCTTTTGCGGAGCGGCTGGTTTCGACCTCGTGTTTCGCGGCAATCGATTCGAAGAAGAACCGGAAGGGGGACAACGAAGACAATTATCGTGCACCACGGTGAGGGCTCGCATTAAGAGTCCGGGCGAAACGATCGCTCTATTTGCGGGACCTGGAATTCTCCGGGGCCCTTACGATTCTTCGGGAAAACTTTCAGCCGCGGACCGGGGGGGGGGACGGGGACAGAAATACCCGCGTCGCGACGTGCCGCGATATTTTAATTGAATCGATTCGCGGCGAAAGGACGACTTCTTGGCAGACATCCACGCTTAGACGGTGGAGAAAGAAAAACGTAACGAGTGGACATAATATTTGGAAAATGCCCTGGCCTGCGGAGCGCTGGCTACGCGCCTGCGGTCCGCGGACCTCGAGGTGACCGTAGATTGATATCTGTGGATCCGTGGACTTGCTTGTGGACACGTTAAGCATTTGTTTTTGATAGATACGTTAATATTATTCATTTATTAACGGGAAAAAACCCTTTAGTACAAAGAGAAGTAGTAATATAATAATTCGTATCTTACTTTAAGTATTTCTTATATTTTTTTATATCAAGTATATTTTGTAGTTTTTTGAAAATTAAAATTTCCCATAAATGCATAAACATCCACAGTCTTATTATTGGTATAATATGAAGACCAAAATGGGTCTCGTCAGAGCACAATAGAGAATTTTGAGTGTATCAGTATTGTTGACAAATTTTCAAGCTACGTGAAATAATTTTTCCTTAATATTCTTTAAAAAATAAAGAAGAAAAAAGTATGATAAGTAAAATACTAATAAAATTTGTTAGAAATATTAAAGATACAAATTAAAAAATTTCCTTCCTACGTAAACACTGTTTAAAACTATGCATAAATTTAAAATAAAACACTCATCAAATTCCCCGGTTAAATAATGTGAAGTAACGAAGGCGGTGATGTTGTGTTTGCACCTGAGCGGCCAACGACTCAGGAACGATCCTGATTGCAAGTAATAACCGACGATCAATTGTCAATAGCAAGTAGTAATCGGCAAACAATTGTTAATTGACAATTATAAATTGCAATTACATTTTGCCCAACGCTGCTACCAACACATGCGGCGGGCTCGCTCGTTTATGCTGCCTCTCGCTCGTTTACGATGTCGTATTCCATTTACTACCCTCTTCGAGCGATCCATTCCAACAACAAATCCTCACCCGCGCCTCTATTCATGAAATCTGTCGGGCTCGATTTGATTTTGTGTACCGTGCACGTTAAACCAGGGGTTAACAGCGTTTTAGTGTCACAGGCATTAAGATTTACAAGGGAAACAACATCCACGATTGCTCGGATTATACAGATCAATGGAAAGAAAAGAAAATTGAAAATAAATTTTAACGAAAAAGTTACATTCCATTAAAAATTTAATTCTATATTTCGTTGTAGAATCACCTGGCTCGTTTTTACCATCGACACAACACTTTGTATATTCTGATACAATAATTTATCGTTAAAATTTCTCTATTATTTCCGATTTACCTTTTCGAACGAGAATAATCTATGGGATCTCTGATAAATAATTGCGTCTGAAAATGTTCGTCGGGCGAAATTGAAAATCCTGAAATGAAAACACACGAGAAATCGCCGCGAACGTTTCGTGATTTTTCGCCGCGAGTTACGTAAATACGCCTCGATATCGGCAGCGTAAAATTTACGGTTTGCGGCGTAATGTTACGCAAGCGAGACGATACAAAAAAAAATATAATTAATAATCACGCAAAGGAGACTATGTAACACGGTGTAACGAAAGTTACAGGCATTTCTTTTTTAGCGTGCCAGCGGCGCGTTTCGTTGTTCGCTGTAACAGTAATAATAGTAAATAGCACGATCGTCGTCACCACCACCACCCCACCAACACCCCCACCACCACCACCGCCGCCATCAGCGTCGTATGCAAAGACGAAAACTCAGAAAACAAATAGATAGCAAAAAGAGAGAATAAATAGATTCTAACGTGTAGTTGCGATCGATGGCGGACTGCTTAATAAAAAGAAAAAAAAGGGGGAAAATAAAAAAGAAATGGTTACAATACCGATGCTATTCTGAGTACTGAGTTCCCAGTCTTTCATGAGGATTTCTCGGGCAGGTCAGGATGACAGCGACGTGGGTGCACCTACAATGCAGACAGTGAGATTGTACATGTAGAAAACTGTGAATATTTTGAGTAATGCGAATGTTGAATATTCGCTAAGTGTGTTTCGCTGTTGCTACGGCAAAACTTTTTAAACAACCGTTGCACCTACGCGCATCGACGCGTTATAAACTCATTGTGCTGTCAGTTTATAGAGATGCTAATATTGCTTATTGATACGCTTATAATACTGTAAAAAATTCGCACTCGTCGCTTTCAAGTGACAAAATCGAAGCCACCGAAAGCGGGGATATTCCTTCATTGTAGTTTCAAAAATACTAAATAAAAAAATTCCCCCTAAAAATTACCGCAATCTTTTGTACTCGTCGTTTCTCTTACAATGCAATAAAATTAATTTATTCTCTTTTATTACGTCAATAATAATGGAAGCTTCGAACGGTATTTGGCGACACTCTCTGCGATTTCGTCTTCGAAAGTGACTTTATTATTACACATCGAGTTATCCTTTCGCGTTTCAGTAAATTCGAAACGGTTACTTAAAGTGCCTAAAAACACACGCTGTACGCGCTCGTTCCTTTTTCTCGCCCCCGGTTATATAAATACCGCGAATACGCGATAACGAAAATCTCGTTTAAAAGACAAACGTAACAAATTGCGAGCGGGCCGGCGTGGCGGAATTTAATAACAGGTGTATTTACGAGGCGAGTTTTTCTTGCATTAGCTGGAAAGGACCGGACGTCCCGACTTTCACACGGCCACGCAGTGAAATCGTAACATTATAATCCACTAGCGAGCGAATCGCGGTTACGCTCACGAGCATCTTCGGAAAGCGTGGAGACGAGCGTACGCTCAACAAACAAGTTACATATTGCAAATATAACGTGCACGGCTCTCGTGTTCTACGTGACGAGACCGTGATTACGCAACGAGCAATACGAATCATCGTTTCCCTTCGGTAAAAGCGCGATGTCGAGAGCAATTAACGGGTTCGCGTTACGACAAGCCACCCTGTACACGCGCTATGATTCTTGACCTATATGTTTTCGAAATACTAAAAATTTCAAGTTCGTTCGATGATTTCTGTTCCTCTTCGCCTCGATAAGTTCATTTTTATCGAACAAAAGAAAGCATTCGAATATAAATAAACGAATAATTTGTCCATTCTGTCCCTTAAATCGTTCAAATTCTCAACGTTGCCGAGATTCTCGAATATTTCCGAGAATCCGATAATTTTCGAGATTCTCGACATTCTCGAGTGACAAGATAGTTTCGAGATCTCGATATTTTCGAGACCTCGAAAACCTCTGGGTTTAGGAATCTCCGCCAGCTGGGGGGCCTCCAAAGATACCGATGATATTAATTTCGATATCATTGTACCTATGTTGGTATTCATGATATCCGCTATATCGTAGGGATTTTCAAAAATTCTTGCGATATAATTGATCGATTGTGCAATACGTTTAAACACGCAGACGTCAGAATTAATCACGATTAACGCTAAGTTCGATCGCTGGAATTAATCGCACGTGGCTAGAATCGTTAATCACTCGGGACGACCGACAATTAAATTAATCGTTATTCTCTTGCAACTTACGACCGTCGCTGATTAAATTAATGGCTGTTCTTCGGTGGTATCGAGTCAGAATCGGTGGTACCCTTTTCACACGATTCAAAAAGATATATTCCTGAAGACCTGTTTCGAAAGCACGAGGAATAACCATTAGTTCCATCAACAATCGTCACGAGCGAATACAATTAATTTAATATGAATAATGAAAGGAATGAATGTTTGACAAATTTTAAATTAATAATACTCTTGTCCGTGTTAACCGAAGATTACCCATAAGAATAGTTTATCAGTTTTCATTTTATGCTAATTGTTGAGTTTATAACTCGTCCCAGCCAATTCGATTTAAGACGCCCCACGAAATTTATTCAGCTTCCGTTTTCTTAATCGAGATTTTCAAACGCCATACAGTGTTCTCTCGTAGGATGAAACGGGCGAGGTGCAAAACGATTTTCGTGCTCGTAAATCGAGCAGCAAGAGAGAGGCTGGCACGTTCACGGAATTTAAAAATAGATCAAGACATCTTTCGTATTTTCAGAAGTTCTTCTGTACATAAAAGCCAGCGCGCGTCTTTGCTTTTTAAAATTGTCACAAAAAAAAAGAAAAGAGTAAAACCAGCAACATTTCACAGCGATCCGAATAAAAAGATCTCGATATATTGGCCAAGAATTTTTAATTTTCAATTTATTCTCACCGTTTAAAAATGGATATTCCAGAGTACAAAAATCGAGTAAATTATTGTTGATTGTTTTTCCTTTGCAATATATTACGACGAGGCTACGAAATAATTACAAAGAAACGTTAATGCCAGTAAAAAAAAAAAAACTGTTTTTCTGCTCGTTCTATAAATAGAACACCGAGTGCTTAATGAGTTAAAAATTTCCACGAACATCAAACGTCGTGCAAAACAGCTTTCACCGTGAATAATAGTGATAGAGGTACAGTAACTGTTGTTTATTTTCTCGTCTATTTGGCGTGCAGCCGTGGCCGCGCTTCCTTTTGTCCAGCCTCTTTTGAAGTCGCTAAAAAATCCACGACAAGGCGAGCTTCCGGGTATAAAGCTGAGTATCCACGAAAGAATGCGAAGTCTCGAGGAACGCTCTTCTCTACGCGGAAAGGAATCTCGAGGGTGAACCGTGCCTTAGGCATCATCGAGACATCGAGAACGATGCCCCGGGCATTAGGAAGCTACGTGGTACACCGGCGTGATCTACTCGCAAAGGTGAATCTAGATAAGATTCCCGGAAAATTACAGCGTTTCGCAAAACATTACAATTCATTACATCTGTTTCACTACCGCCTCGAACGACGCAACGTCCAATTTACCACTGCCACTATCACTTATTTGGTTTTAGTCCAGAAACTTCGGGTTTTAATACGATTCTCTGGACAGAAAATGAATCAACATGAAATTTTTATGATCAGATTTATCCGGAAATAGTAGAATAAAAATTGAAAATTGAGAAAGATAAAAATGTTTCGGAGCAATTGCGGTCACCAAAGATTTTGAAATATACAGGATGTTCGACCACCCCTAGGAAAAATTGTAATGGCAGATTCTAGAGGCCAAAATAGGACGAAAATCAAGAATACCAATTTGTTGATGGAGGCTTCGTTAAAAAGTTATTAACGTTTAAAGTTCCGCCGGTATTGAATTTTTTTCTCGAAAATGCGTAGGATTTCAGGGGTATGTGTATTCACCAAAAATTATTGTAATTGACCCCCGCAACTAAAAATAATTTTTTTAGAAAGATTTGAAAAATTTTTATTTTGCCGAAAATTCCTGCACCTATTGAATTTTTTTCTCGAAAGTGTGTAGAATTTCGGGGATATGTCTATTTACCAAACATGATTGTAATTGACCCCGGCAGCTAAAAAAATTTTCTTAGAACGATTTGAAAAATTTTAATTTTGCTGAAAATTCCTGCATCTACTGAATTTTTTTCTCGAAAGTGTGTAGAATTTCGGGGATATGTCTATTTACCAAACATGATTGTAATTGACCCCGGCAGCTAAAAAAATTTTCTTAGAACGATTTGAAAAATTTTAATTTTGCTGAAAATTCCTGCATCTACTGAATTTTTTTCTCGAAAGTGTGTAGAATTTCGGGGGTGTGTGTATTCACCAAACATGATTGTAATTGACCCCCGCAACCGGAAAAAATTTTTTTAAAACGATTCGAAATTTTTTCTTGTCGTTGGAAAATGTGGACACCTACGCCCTTGTCGATTTTTCTTGAAATATCGTATATGATTTTTAATCATTTTTCTTGACGGTCTACTGAAAAGTTGTTTAATACCTTTTTGTAGCTACCCTTGAGCTCTACTTCAGAAAAAAATTTCATTGAAATATATTCACTATTGTAGGAGTTATGCACGTTTGAAAATTGGACCAGTTTTAGGGGGTTTTTCTCTCTTTACGGTGTCAAGGAGCAGCTTTCCAAATATTTTTGGAATTTCTACATATTCTCCGCCAAAATACGCGTTGTTCGCGTTTTGAAACATTAAAATCGTCCAATCCGTTCAGGAGTTATGATGTTTCAAAGATTCACATGAAATTTCGGGGAGTCATTATATCTATATTATCGGTAAGGAATTTTTTTCTCAAAAGTGGATAGGATTTCGGGGGTCTGTCTATTCACCAAACATGATTATAATTGACCCCCGCAACTAAAAATAATTTATTCAGAATGATTTGAAATTTTTGAATTTAATTTTTGAATAACTTTTTAACGAAGCCCCAATCAACAAATTGATATTCTTGATTTTCATCTTATTTTGACTTGTAGAAACTTCCATTAAAATTTTTCCCAGTGGTGGTCGAACACCCTGTATATTAGCTATCCCAGGTGTGGTACAGGTTGTCATAGATATGAAGTGAATGATGTTTTGTATGGACAGATGAGTGTGACACGAGTGTATGGTCTAAATGATTTCTATACTTTATGATTGAAAAGTGAATGAAAGAGTGACGTGTGTGAAACTAGTGACTTTGATGCGAGCATTGAGATCAATTTCTTGTGAAATAGATTTCCAACGTTATACAATTATAATAAATACTTTCTATTCATCCACCCACACCAGTCAATAATAGTTATATAACAGAAGTATTTTTGTAAATTTGTAAAGTTTGAAATGTGCAATTTTTAACGAGACGTGCTATCTCGAGAATAAATAGATAAATGTATCTGAATCAAGATTAAAATATAGTTCTACCGATTCAGCAATCGTGACGATAAGAATAAGGATAATTTAGAGTATAATTTTGGAAATGGAAGTTCAATTCTTACTTTGAACTACTCGTAAACAATAATTTCTTCAAACGATCTAACAGAATTGTACGAATCGTGAAGTTCATTAAAAGACAAAAGAGTTCCATTAAAAAATGGGGTTTACAGTTTTAAAAATAAACTTAAAAAGTAACCTTGCCACGCCCTTCGCAACCATGTCTAATC